CAAGCTGGTATTGCTTAATGTTTTCAAGAATAAAAACCCTACTAAAAATTATCTGAGATGTTAACTTTCAACATCCTCTGATATTTCCCCAGATCTATATCTGCCACTGTCTTTGAAAAACTACATAAACATATCAATAACTTTTTGAAACTTGCATTTCAAAACTGTTTTTTTTAAATGTTAACCTCAATTCCCCATGAAGAACTGTACCTGCAATCAATGGAAAATAATAATCAATCACCAGCAAGGACATGAACTCATGGGCTTAAGATGTCCCCTTTATCTCGGTGTTTGGATACTCCCTTTGCACACATGTTGTAACTGAAAGTTGTACCCACTGACCCATACCAAAATAGCATTAGTTATATTGCTTTCCGTTTGAGATAGATGTCTGTTCATCAGAAAGAATTGAGTACAGTCGGCCCTCCATATCCATGGGTTCTGCATCCTTTGATTCCATCTGGAAAGGAAAATATTCAAAAATTAATGTTACATTGTTGCTGATGTGTACTATGAATTAATAGTTAGGCCTATGATAGTTGCATGGTTGTGTCTGTACTAAATATGAACAGACATTTTTCTTGCCATTATTACCTAAACAATACAATGTAACAACTATTTACACAACATTTATATTGCATTGTGTATTATAAGTAATCTAGAGGTGATTTAAAGTACACTGGAGGATGTACATAGGTTATATGTGAATTCGATGCCATGTCATATAAAGGACTTGAGCATGCACGGATTTTTGTATATACAGGGTCCTGGAACCAGTCTCTGGCAGATACTGAAGGACAATTATGTATCTTAGAATATGGAGTAAGAAATATTACAGAGATAAATGTGTTCCTTAATGGGTATGACATAATCATTGACTCTACAGGCCAGAGAGAGGTTTTCTATGGGAATAGGAGGTATAACTTGTCAACACAACAAGCATCCAAAGGTGTAGAGAGTTTTTATGAGAGTTTATTTGAGCCAAACTGATGACATTTGGCGGGAAGCAAGAATCTCAAATGCTCCAGATAATAACAGTTTTGCAGCTTCTTTTATGGACTTGACATTAAAGAGAGGACATAAAAAAGATTGGAGAAAGCAAGGCGGGGATGAATTACAGAATAGTTAACAAAATTATGTGCTCTCTTGAGGGTTAATGCCCCTTTGAAGGGTTCTCTGGCATTTCAAAGATGTGTTAACCTGGGCCGGCCAAGTGGCTCATTGGTAAGAATTGGCTTGGGAGTGCGAGCCCTATACAGCAGCACCCTGGTATGAATCCCACATGGGCCAGTGACGCTGTGCCCTCTACAGCTAAGATGGTGAACAACAGCTTGACTTGGATCTGGGCTGCCGTGAGTTGCTGGCGATGGTGTAGGCTGCAGTGGGCCTGCAGTGAGCTGCCGTGAGCTACCGTGAGTGGCCATCCAATGGCCGGCGACTGATCTGCCTCAGCTGGGAAGAGCACAATGATAGCAATACCAACATGGGCCAGAGAAGCGGCGTCCTTCACAACTAGGCTGAAGAACAAAAGGACAGCAACTTGTCTGTTCCCCTTCCCCAATTCGCCAATAAAATCTTAAAATAAAAAAATTTAAAAGATGTGTTAAGCGAGATGCACAAAAACAATGGACAGGGCTGGCTTAAAACATTTCACTAAAGAAGTTATATGACTGGAGCCTGTCCAGTTAGGAATTTATGATCGGATCACCCTGTGAGGTTATGTTCCACAAAACTTCTGTTTTCTGTCCACAAACTGCTGCTTGTTCACCTAACTCAGAATATTCTTCTTTCTTCCAAGTCATGGACCTGTATGGAGTTATTTCTATTGTTCCTAGCCAATCATAATAAAACAAACTACCAACTACCTCAGACTCCACGCATTTGAAGAGCCATACAATGTGTCCAGTTATGCAAGCATTATTTTATGTCTGAATGACTCTATAGAATGATATGCCCATTTAGATCAGCAGATTTGAGAGCATTTTAAAATTTTGTATTTTCTGAGAGCAGACTGAGCTTCACAGAGTATGAATTTTTGTCTTCTGCTGCAGTTAACAACTAGCGAAACCCCTCCCTGGAGGTAGGAGCACCACTTTGCAGGTTCCCTCCGTGGCAAAAGTTCTAGTTGGACAGAATGGAGAACTCCTTCCCCGGGTTTCTAGAGCAATGAGAACTACATTACCCAGAAAATTCTGTGGCGAGTTGAGCCAATGACGGATCGGGATGAAAGTATATCCGTGAGATTTAATCGTGTTGGGGCCGGACTTTCACCGCCTTCCTCATGGCAGATATTTGTTTAGTCCCCCAGCGTCTGCTAGAGACCGAGGTGACGGGACCGAGAAGGCACGAAGGAGTCGTGGTTCCTGCTCCACAGACGCGGTTCTAAGTCTCGTTGACTACTGATTGACCCGCGCCAGGGCTGGGAAAGGGACCAACGTGTCCTGCACCCTCCTCTCCCGAGCCTGGTTCCGCCCACAGTGTCCGATGACGGCGGCTGAGCTGAGGTCCCAGCTCAGGTAAGTGCACGTCTGCTAGGCCCTTACTCCACCCGAGCCCTAAAGCCTCGGTAGGGAGCTCCTGCTCACGTCCTGCAGCTTAGGCCTCGACGTCCAGGACGGTGAGGCGCTCATGGGTGACACCCGGTGTGACGAAGTGTGGGAGAGGGTTACAGACAGGGACTAGCTGTGTAAAGATGTGAAGGGGCGACTGAGCCGCAACCTGGGGTTCGCCTTCTGCCTGCAGGGAACAGAGAGTGAGAAGGACTGTCAGGGACGTTCTGAAGGTCCTGGGAGTCATGGAGGGTTGTGAACTGAAGACGGACATAGGCAGTGTTAGAGTTTTAATAGCTTTCTAAACGGTTCTTAGCGGACAGACAGGAATGGGGGTGATGCGGACAGTGAGGCACCGAGAAGTAGAGTCCTCGTTCAGGGTCACAGAGCTGGTTAAGAGGCAGCTCAGAGGACTGAAACACAGAGGTTAGTTAATTGATCCCATGTCACCAGTTTCTAGGGTTGGGTAGGGATGCAGAGGAGACCTGCATATAGGGACACCAGCCCTGGTTGGTTTTTTCTTTCAGGTTCTGAAGGTTAAAAAAACATTTAAGGAACCTATGCAAGGAAGGGGAGGATGTCCCAGTCCCACCTGGTCCTGACACCAACCATATGGTGTTTGGGATTGTGGTCTTGAGATTTTCCTTGCTGTATTCTCAGCTCTTGGGTGTGGGGACCCCAAGTCCTGGGTTCTGAGTTCAGGATAAGGGTAAGGTAGAGGTGCTCCTGTTTCTGGTAACTGATGTACAAGATGTGATAAAAAAAATACAGTGAATGTGGATCGGCTGAGTGGCTCGTTGGTTAAGAGTTGGCTTGGGAGCGTGAGCTCTGAACAGCAAGGCCACCGGTTCAGATCCCACATGGGCCAGTGACGCTGCGCCCTCTACAGCTAAGATGGTGGAACAACAGGTCGACCTGGAGCTGGGCTGCTGTGAGTCACCGGCAACAGTGTAGGCTGCAATGGGCTGCCATAAGCTACCGTGAGTGGCCAGCAGCTGGCGTGAGCTGACGTGAGTTGCTGTGAGCAGCTGTCCAAGGGCCGGCGTCTGATCTGCCTCATCTGGGAAGAGCGCAATGATCACAATACCAACATGGGCCAGTGAAGCGACCTCCTCAACAACTAGACTGAAGAACAAAAGGACAGCAACTTGTCTGTTTCCCTTCCCCAATTCTCCAACGCTGTTCCCTCCCTCAATTCCCCAATAAAATCTTTAAAAAAAATAGTGAATGTTTAAGTTAAAAAAAATTATTACAGTGAAAGACACATTGCCATTAACCACCCTCAAAATACTTCCCTTTTCTTCAAACACACCCCATCATTCTTGCCACTTTCAGAAGCAGTTCTGGAAGTTCTCTTTCATGAGTGTCTTTAGTTTCGCTGTCAGCCACCTTGATATCTGAATTATTTAGACTTTGGGGAAGAACCAGAAGTCGTATGGTGCCATATCCGGTGAATAAGGTGAATGAGGACACATTGTAATGTTTTTATTTGACAAATTGCCATACCAAAAGCAATGTGTGACATGGAATGTTGTCATGATGGAGGATGATTTACAGCATACTTTAAAACACACTTTTCTCAACTGTAGCTCACACCTGACTGTCTACACCAAATAAGCTGAAACTTGTCACATTCTGTTACCAAGGTTCGATGCACTGCTTTATGTATTGAAGATCCCTGCCTTTCCATTGGATGGCACTCAGGAATAGCATTCACCATATTTTGTGATCACAATGGAAAGGCTCCGTGTCACACATCACTTCTGGTATGGCAATTTCTGTCAAAAACCATTATGGTGTGTCCTCATCCACCTTATTCACCGAATCTGGCACCATGCGACTTCTGACTCTTCCCAAAGTCAAAAGGACTATGAAAGGTAAACGTTTTGAATTGATTCAGGACATCAAGGCAGCCATGACAGCACAACTGAGGACACTCATGAAAGAGGACTTCTAGAACTGCTTCAGAAAGTGGCAAGAACAATGAGATAAATGTGTTTGAAGCAAGGGGGAGTATTTTGAGGGGAATTAATGGCAGTGTGTCTTTTACTGTAATAAAATCTTTTTATTTAAACATTCCCCATATTTTTGGATCACACCTCATAAACAGGTGTAAGGTTAACCCAGGGACAGATACCAGCATGTGTAAATGCTTGGAGTTGTGACTGAGCTGGGATTAGGTTCTGCAGGTCTCCTTCCTGTTAAGAACAAAGAGCAGGGTATCAATAATCAGGACTGTAGTGTGGCTGCCTGAGAAATTGGGCATCTATTATGGAGGTAATAGGACATGTGAAGGAGGAAGGAGTTGGCCTACCCCAGGTCTTAATAGGCTCCATCTGGCTGCACAGTGGAGAACAGATTATGGGGTTATGGGCAAATAAATGCAGGGAGCCCAGGAGGAGGCAACTGTAATACTGTAATCCAGATTGTTGATGGACCAGAATTGTGCCCATGGAGGTAGGAGAAAAGGTTGGATTCTAGGTTCATTTCTTAAGAAGGGCCAAGTAAAATTTTGGATATTGTAGGTGAAGGAGAGAAAGGGGAAGGCTAGAGATGGCTCCCTGGGTTTTGGTGCCTAGCTGCTAAAGAGAGGGATGCTCCATCAACTGAGATGAGAAATTTGTGGGATGTTGAAAGTTCCCAAGATTTATTTTCCTCGGGAATATCATAAGTTTTGTTTAGGGCCAGTTAAGAGCCTGAGAATCAAGTGGACAGCTGGCACACAGTCTGGAAATCTTGGGAAGGGGTTCAGAATGGAGACTTTCATAAGTGGTGACTATTGTGTGGACCAGGATGGAGCTGCGGATGACATTTTGGAAGTGGAATACAAGTTATACTGCCATTAGCATGTCAGAAAAACTAAGGTTTGTGCCAAGGAGTGTTCCTTTGGCTTAGAACCTGTCTGAAGTCTTGAGTATAATGAACACAGGTGAGAGACAGAAGTGGCTGTGGATCTGTGTGGGAGAAAGAATGATGTGGCAGATGGCCCAGGCTTTCATGGGAAGAGTACGTGCAAGATGTCTTCGGAGGCAGAGAAGTAATTGAGACAAGTTGACACTGAAGCTGGGGCTCCTGCTAATTCACAGCTTTTCAGATTCACCGGAATTGTGTGCCAAGTCTTGATGGGTAGGGTCTGGGGTGTTTCATCCTTACTAGTGGATAAGATCTGAGGTAAATGTCATTCATAAGAGTCAACTATGCCTGACTCTAAGGGCTGGGGGTTTTAGGAAAGTTGAGCGCAGAGAGGAGGGTTATGGCTGCTGAGAGGACAGAAAGGGCATCACAGAAGTAGAAGACAGTCATGGGTATCTATAATTCCTATGTGGTTCTGGGTGGCTAATACTGAAGCAAAGATCAGAGGCAGGTGGGGAGGCCTTCAAAGCACAAAGCAGCATTCAGGGCTTTCCCTGGTTGTGATATCCATCAGAGGTCTAGGATGGTACTAGATAGTGTTTGAATTTGTCAAGCACTCTCTGGATGCCATGTGCCAAGTATGTGGTTGAGTGTAGGGCAGTGCCTGTAATGTAGGGCGGTGAGGTAGCAGAGCTGTGGGAATGGAACTGTGGGGACTGAATATGTTAGAGAGAGAGAGTCTACAGAATGGTGTTCATATGTGTAGGTAGCACAAGCTGATGGCCCTTAGGCCCTGGTAGTGAGGACCAGGTGAAGCATGAGCCCACCTTTGGCTGTGTCTGGTAGGTACAATCTGGGAGACCCTAGGGGAATTGCTTTGCAGGAGGGATGGGGCCCACAGTTTGGATGGCATCTATGTGTCCCCCTGCCTATTGTTGTTAAGGGCTGAAAACAGTGATTATGGGACTCTAAGAAGAGAGCATCATTCACATCATTGGCACCAAGGCCTGATGTCTCCTTTGAGGTGGGGAGCTCTGGAGGAGGAGGAGTGTGGAGTAGATATGTGATGTGATGGATTATAGGTTCTCAGAGAGACAAAGTTTATAGTTTTCTCTGTCCCCATCTTGACAGGACAGTGTGACCTTTGAGGACGTGGCTGTGTTCTTCTCCTGGGAGGAATGGAGGCTCCTTGATGAGGCTCAGAGGCGCCTGTACCACGATGTGATGCTGGAGAACTTTGCACTTATATCCTCGCTGGGTAAGACTCACAGCTTCCCCAGTGACCTGGACTAGGCTCTGCCCTGCCTCACCTTCCTTTCCCCAGGGGTGCTCTGTTTTTACAGGTGGATCATAGTTACTGTTTCCTTCTCTAGCTTTCTGGGTGGTTGCTGTCTTTGGTAGGGCTGGGTGGTTTGTACTGCTTTCTTCTCTCCTGCAGCCCCAATACCTGCTGTTCCAAACCCCCATAGGGAAAGATTGGAGATCAGTAGTCTTGCACTGAGACTAATGGATTGCACCGTGCTGGCCCCCTCCTTGGACAGGTCAAGGTGTCCAGATCCATAGCACTTCTGTGTCCCAGGGTTTGATCTCTTCCTTTAGCTGACATTTCCTAGGGTATGCCTATGCCAGGAATTGTAGGCATTGTCACAGTCATTACTTATCTGGACCATAGGCAGTTTTTCAAACCCTTCTGCATGGTTTGTAGTGTTTTGTTTAGATCTCTTTTTTGTTTTTGTTCCATTGTTGTTGATCTGTAAAATTATATATTTAAAGTATACAATTTGATGATTTGATATATGTATATATTGTGAAATAATTGCCATAATCAAGTTAATGAATATTTTTATCACCTGATATACTTTATTTATTTATTTTTGGTAATGTTGCTAAGGTATACTCTCTCAGTAAATTTTAAGTGTAAAATACAGTATCATTAACTGTAGTTGCCATGTTGTACATTAGATCCTCAGAACTTACTCATCTTATAACTGAGGGTTTATCCCTTTTAACCAATAACTCCCCATTCCCCCTATCCCTGAGCCCCTGTCATTCTACTCTGTTTCTGTGAGTTCAACTTTTTTTTTTTAAAGATTTTATTGGGGAATTGGGGGAGGGGAAAAGCGTTGGGGAATCAGGAAAGGGGAACAGACAAGTTGCTGTCTTTTTGTTCTTCATTCTAGTTGTGAAGGCCGTCACTTCACTGGCCCATGTTGGTATTATCATTGCACTCTTCCCGGGTAAGGCAGTCACTCACGGCGGCTCATGGCAGTTCATAACGGCTGCTGGCCACTCACGCTGGATTCCAGACACTCACAGTAGCTCTTGGCAGCCCACTGCAACCCCGCTGCAGCCTACACCATTGCCGACGACTCACGGCAGCCCAGCTCCAGGTCAAGCTGTTGTTCACCATCTTAGCTGTAGAGGACACAGCGTAACTGGCCATCGTGGGATCCCAACTGTGGCCCTGCTGCTCAGAGCCGGCACTCTGTAGCCAACTCTTAACCAACGTGCCACACGGCTGGCCCAAGTTCAACTTTTGTTTGTTTATTTGTTTGTTTGTTTAGATTCCACATATAAGTGATATCATACATTATTTATCTTTCTCTGACTGGCTTATTTCACAGCGTAATGCCCTCTAAGATTCATATGGCAGGATTTCCATTTTCTTTTAAGGCTGAATAATATTCCAAGGGTGTGTGTGTGTGTGTGTGTGTGTGTGTGTGTGTGTGTGTGTAAACTGCCCCCTTTTTATCCATTTATTCATGGACGGACACTTAGGTGGTTTCTATATCTTATGTATTGTGAATAGTGGTGCAGCAAATATGAGAGTGTAGATTATCTCTTCCATGTTCTGATTTCATTTCCTTTGGATATATGCCAAGAAGTGGGGTTGCTAGTTTGAATTTTTTGAGGAACTTTTATACTGTTTTCCATAATGCCTTTACGAATTTGCACCCCCACAAACAGTGTACAAGGGTTCACTTCTCTCTCTACATGTTTGCTAACACTTACCTCTTGTCCTTGTGATGATTAGCCATCCTAATAGATATGAAGTAATAGCTCATTGGGGTTTGCATTTACTTTCCCTGATGATTAGTGAGAAAGAGCAATTTTTTATTAAAATTTACCTGTTAGCCACTTGAATGTCATCTTTGGAAACATGTCTAATCAGACCCTTTGCCCATATTTTAATCAGATTGTTCTTTTGCTCTTGAGTTGTAGGAGTACCTTATATTTTTAAAATATTACTCCCTTATTAGATACATGGCTTGCAAATATTTTCTCCCATTCTGTATGTTGCCTTTTCATTTTCTTGATTGTGTCCTCTAAAATATTTTAGTTTGATGTCATGCCACTTGTTTATTTAGATTTTCCCCCCTGTACTTTAGTTGTCAAAAAAAAAATACCTGAGGCACTATCAAGGAGCTTATTCATTTTTTTTCCTTTTCAAGAGGTTTTACATTTTCGTGTCACTCTTTAATCCATTTTTAGTTAATTGTTAGTGGTGAAAGTTAGGGGTCCAATTTAATATTTTTGCACGTAGGTATCCAGTTTTCCCAGCATTATTGAAGAGACTATCCTTTCCCAATTGTGTGTTCTTGGTGCCTCTGTCAAAGATTAGTTGACCGTATATGCATGGGATTTTTTCCGAGCTCTTTATTCTGTTCCATTTCTCTGTATGTCTGTTTGTATGCCAGTACCATATTGTTTTGATTACTGTGCAGTGTGATAAAAAAAATATGATGAATGTATACATTTTTAAAAGTTTATTACAGTAAAAGACAGTGCCATTAATCCCTCCCAAAATACTCCCTCTTGCTTTGAACTCACTTATCCCATCATTCTTGCCACTTTCTGAAGCAGTCCTGGAAGTCCTTTTTTATGAATGTCTTTAGTTGTGTTGTTGTGGCTGCCTTGAAGTCGTCAATCGATTCAAAACGTTTATCTTTCATAGTCCTTTTGACTTTGGGAAAGAGCCAGAAATCACATGGTGCCAGATCTGGTACCATATCCGGTAAATAAGGTGAATGAGGACACACTGTAATGTTTTATTTGACATAAATAGCCATACCAGAAGCGATGTGTGACACGGAGTGTTATCATGATGGAGGATGAAGTAAAGACACTCATGAAAGAGGACTTCCATAACTGTTTCAGAAAGTGGCAAGAATGATGGAATAAGTGTGTTTGAAGTGAGGGGGAGTTTTTTGAGGGGAATTAATGGCAATGTGTTTTACTGTAATACATTTTTTAAATGTAAATATTCACTGTATTTTTTTTATCACACCTTGATAGCTTCATAATATAGTTTGAAATTAGGAAGTGTGGTACCTTCAGCTTTGATCTTCTTTCTCAAGATTGCTTTGGCTATTTGAGGTAATTTGTGGGCCCATGTCAATTTTAGGATTCTTTTTCTATTTCCATGAAAAACTTCAGTAGGAATTGTATTGAATCTGTACATTACGTTGGGTAGTACAGACATTTTAACAATATTAATTCTTCCAATCCAACAACATGGGATATCTTTCCATTTATTTGTGTCTTCAGTTTCTTTCATTAGTGTCTTATACTTTTTAATGTCTTGATCTTGCACCTCCTTGGGTTTTTTTCCCCAGTTTTATTTAGATGACATATTTTGTATGATATTGTCATTGCATTTGTTTTCTTCACTTATTAAAATACTTAATTGTTAGTGTATAAAAATGCCACTGATTTTCGTATGTTGATTTTGTATCTTACAACTCTACTGAATTCATTTATTAGTTCTAATGGTTTTATGCTAGGTCATTTAGGGTTTTGTATATTTTAAGATCATGTCTTATGCAAACACAGGCAAGTTTTACCTATTCTTTTGTGATATTGATGCCTTTTATTTCTTTTTCTTGCCTAAGTGCTCTGGCTAGGACTCCCAATATTATGCAGAGTAGGAGTGGGGAGAGTAGGCATCCTTGCCTTGTTCCTGATTTTAAAGGAAAAGCATGTTAGCTTTTAATCTTTGATTATGATGTTAGTGTGGGCTTATTGTATATGGCCTTTATTATGTTGAAGTACATTCCTCTTTGTACTGTACCTACTTTGTTGAGAGTTTTTCATGGGAAAGTATACTAAATTTTGTTAGGTGCTTCTTCTACATTTATTGAGATCATATCCTTCATTCTGTTAATATGGTGGATCATGTTTATTGATTTGCGTATGATGAACCATCCTGGCATCCCAACTTATCTATTTCTTACAGCTTGTTGTCATTTAATTGTTTGTAGTAGTCTCTTACCATCTTTGTGTTTCTGTAATATTGCTTGCCATATCTCCTGTTTCATTTTTTATTTCATTTATTTGAGTCTTCTGTCTTGTCTAAGTTAGTCTAGCTATAGGTTTGTCAATTTTGTTTTTTTACAAAATCCAGCTCTTAGGTTTGTTGTTCTTTTCTTTTAATTTTTCCCCCTCGTCTATATTTTATTTGATTTCTGCTCTGATGTTTGTTATTTCCTTCCTTTCTTAGGTTTGGTCTTAGTTTGATTTCCTTTTTCTAACTCATTGTTGTGTAAAGTTAGGTTCTTTTTTCTCAAGGTAGGCATTTATTGCTATAAATTTTACTCTTAGAACTGTACTTGCTGCAGCTCTTCAGTTTTGGCAAGTTTTGTTTCCATTTTCGTTTGTCTCAAAATAATTTTATTTTTTGTTTTAATTTTTTTTCTTTAACCCACTAATCGTTCAGGAATGTGTTGTTTAATGTCCACATATTTGTGAACTTCTCAGTTTTGTCTTGTTACAGGTTTCTAGTTTCAAACCTTTGTGGTTGGATAAGTTTCTTCATATGATTTCAGTCTTCATAAATTCAAGACTTGTAACCAAACATATGAGGTCTGACAATTAAGTTCATGAACTCATCCTAGAAAAAGTATTACATACCTCGTTGCTGAATATTACTATGGTCACCATCAAAGCACTCCCCTTGGGAAGTTATGCACCAACAGCAACGCCTAATCCAACCTTCAAAGCAATTTTGGAACTCGTTTTCTGGAATGGCCAGCAGAGCTGTCATCATACTACACTTGATGTCTTGAGTGTCATCAAAATATCTTTCTTTCAATATTTTCTTTATCTTCAGGTAAAGAAGGGAAGACACTGGGGGCCAGATCAGGTAAGTAGGGAAGATGTTCCAGTACTGTTATTTGTTTACTGGCTAAAAACTCCCTCATAGACAGTGCCATGTGAGCTGGTGCATTGTCGTGATGCAAGAGCCATGAATTGTTGGCA